CATGACTCGCCCTGCATCAGAGCCGATCATCGAACCCGAAAAAATCCTGAGTCATCGGATTCGCCACCCCACGGGAATCAGGAGGATTGAATTCCTCGTTCGCTGGAAGGACCGCACGCCAACTGAAGATAGCTGGGTGCCCCTGGCCAACATTGAAAACCACCTTGCCCTGCAAGTGTACCTGAGGAGCCGGGGATTCCGCGATATACACGCACTCGCGTAGCGGAGGGGGCTTCTTGAGGGGGGGGGTAGTGTAAGGAATTTTCTCGGCATTCCTTACGGAGCCCGACTACATCGCGTACAGCAACAGCCGTTGTTCGCCCGTTACGGCTAACGGGACTTCGCCAACTTCGCGCGCACTGTTTTGCCAAACCTCGCACTGCTGGCCCGGCCGTGTCGGCCTACGCTTCGGGACTAGCCCGAGCCTCGCTGCCAGCATAGCACTAGCTAGCTCGCACGCACCGCGTTACCGATTGCATGTTTCGCGTATAAATGTTCGCTCATGCCTTCGCTCACATCTTTGTACTCGTTTGACACCTTAGTGCAATTCTCGCTACTTCGATTCATTGCACCCGTAACACTAGCACACTTTCTCAACAACAATCATTTTATATACGCAGGCTTGCAAAAAAAACCTGCATCTGCAAGGATGGAAATTGCAGGATGAAGGTATAGACCATCTTATGAGGGTAGGGGGGGCTACCCAGCATGTCTTAGGCGTGTGGCTATCGCAATGGGTGATAGCCTTGCCACTACGGTTCCCGTCTTGATGGTCAACAGAATTGGCTAAGATGGTGGCAGACCAGTGCCATGCCTGAAACGTGCCATTCAGCCACGCATATACTCTGGTACGATAGTTTATGACAAGGGCTCCCCGTTATCGAGCCAATATTAACAATTAAGACAGCATATTAAGCATCTCAGCCATGCGGACGGTTTCCCTAGCGTCAGCAAAAATCAGTTAGCCTTCGCGAGAGTCATTCGCGAACAGTGAGCCGAGTAGCTACCAATTCTGTCGAAATACGCATGCTGGATCTAGTTATCGTCGTCATCGTCGCCATGGTGGTGGTGATCGTCGTCATCGTCGTGCTTTTCGTCCTTCTGAATTGGCTTCGGGTCGCACTTCTCGTAGCAATAATCGGCGCGCTTCTTGCACGTCGTCGAGCTCAACCGATCATCCTCCATACAGCGCATCTTGTTATAAGCACACCAATCTTTGCACGTCCACTTGCCGTACTTGCACTTCTTATACAGCATGTACGCCTTTCTTTCGCACGAGTCGTCGGCAACGTTGCAGATGGCCTTTTCGTCTTCGTCCTCACACTCCCGCTTGCACCACTCGTGCTTGAAGTTGCATTTGTCGGAGCGAAGCCTGTACTTTTCCAGACACGTCAGCTTCTTCTTCTCCTTCTTGGGCGGCGGGGGGGGCGGCGGCGGCGACGGGCTGGGCTTGGGCGGCTTGTGGTCGTCGTCGTCTTCGCAATCAAGGTCGTCGTCGTCGTCGTCGTCGTCGTCGTCGTCGTCGCTCAGTCGTCGCCGGAACATCGTCCTGGACTCTGCGGATCGGGAGAGGAAGCAGATCAGGAGCGACGCGAGGAAGTGGGCTTAAGGGCTCGGCCGAATTGGACGACGAAATTTAATAGCACTGACGTTCACCAGGAGACGTCAGGTAGGAAGAAGAGATGGTAACAATGGGCGTAAATTTCCGAGAATGTCGAAGAATACAAACCTTCAGCGCCTTCGGTCGGCTGTTGGGTCTTTGCCAGTGTCGTAGAACCCGCCACATCCGCATGAACTGTAAGTGGAAGGAGGACGAGGAGACCTACGGTAACCACGCACAGGAACGCAACTAGCTTCTTCCCTTCCATGGCAGCAGCTAGACGGAGCAAAGGCAGTCGATTATGGGAGCTCTATCGGTCGATAAGTGAAATCAATATGGATTATAGAAAAAAAACCTGCGTGAGTTGGGCTTTATAGGAAAGAAGGCGAGGCGATGAAACAAGTGGGAGTGGTTGAGGTTGGGGGTGGCTTGGGCTGGGGGGGAAGGCAACAGGGCTTGTGCAAGTGCGGGTGCCTAAGAGAAAGAGCCGCGTCGCGAGAAGGATGGGTACAGTATCTGGTTGCAGTTGTGATGAATCATGAAATCCCCCCTAGCCATCACTGGCCCCCCAGGATCGAGTCGCCTCTCATTCACGCACACCAATAAGAAAAATCGCCTTGCGAAAACAACAACGCGAGATGTTTCGTGATCACTGGTAATTCTGTTAGCTCACTTTCACTGGATGACGAGACAGTGCGGCGACAAACGACGGTCTGCCAAGAATCGCGACCTTGAGATCCCCATCAATACTTGTGTGTGGGCTTTGACCTGCCTAGGGTTGCGCGGTTTGATACTGTGTCGAGAGCATGTGCATGTGAACGGAGCGCCCTTGGGTGAAACGACAAATACGTCGATATTTAATACTAATACATCTATTATTCTAACTTCAACTGATAAATATTTATAAACAGGCATTGCGAACCTGCTAGAAGTCATAGTGGCAGATGGTGGAAAGGAAAGAAGGATCAAGATTAGAGTAGCCCTCATATTTTCCTTGTGAAATTCGCTTGAAGTTATCAGAAAAGAAACATGCAGTGCATACAGCTACGTAGGTTCTAGGACCCCCACCACTCCCTTTACTAGCATATCAACATGACAACCAGCAAACAAGGCACCCACTTCAGCAGTCAGCAGCGAGCAGTTAACCTACCCAGCACTTTCTTCAGCTCCTTACTAAAAGAAACATGCTAGATCTAGTACTTGCCATGATTGTTGTAGTACTTGTTGTGGTGATCATCATCATTATGATCATCATCATCGTGATGATCGTCGTCATCATGGTGATCGTCATCGTCATGGTGGTCATCATCGTATTTCTTGTTGTACTTGCTGTCGTGGTGATCATCATACTTGTTGTCACTGTGGTTATAATCCTTGTGATAGTTGTCGTTGCCCTTGCACTTGTCGTAGCAATACTCGACGCGATCCTGACAAGTGCTGCTGCTCTTGTGGTAGTCTTCCACGCACTTGAGTCTGTTATAGTCGCACCAGTTCTCGCACGTCCACTTGCCGCGCTTGCACTTATCGTACAGCATGTACGCCCTCCTCTCGCACGCGTCGTTCGTCGCGCCGCAGTACTCGTCCCCACCGCACCGCTCGCGCTTGTAGCTGCACTTATCGGAGCGCATCTTGTACTTCTCGGAGCAGCTCATCTTCTCATACTTGCTGTCGTAGTTGTTGTCGTCGTGATTGTCGTGATTGTCGTTGTAGTTGTTGTTGTAATTGTTGTCGCCGTGATTGCCGCTGTACTTATTGTTGTAATTGTTGTCGCCGTGATTGCCGCTGTACTTGTTGTTGTAGTTGTTGTCGCCATGATTGCCGCTGTACTTGTTGTTGTAATTGTTGTCGCCGTGATTGTCGTCGTATTTGTTGTCGCCGTGATTGTCGTCGTACTTCTTGTCGTTGTATTTGTTGTCGTACTTGTTGTCGTACTTGTTGTTATACTTGTTGTCGCTGTCGTCGTCGTCGTCGTCGTCCTTGCAGTCTAAGTCGTCATCGTCGTCGTCGTCGTCGTGATGGCGGCCCAAGCGACGCCCGCGAAGCTTTGCTTGGCCTACTGCAAAAGGTGGAATCAAGAAGCCCCGGTGAAAAACGGCTCAGAATCATGAAAGGAAAAACGGAAAGCATGGACAAACTATGGGCCTGGAGATTGAAAAAAGCGGGAAAGGATGCGGAGTTAGTGCGACACTACTGCCAGTGGGTGGGCGAAAGAGCGTGTAATACACGGCGGCCTACACGAAAGGTGTACCTTCAGAGATGCTTCTCGGCCGTGTGGTGGCTCCCATGGACCCGGCGGACTTCGCTACGACGCCATCTGTGCCCGTCAGCTCCGCATGGGCGCTGGGCGGAAGGAGAAACAGCAGAGCCACGGTCACGGTGCACAAGAGCGCAAAGATACTCCTAGTACTACCCATCGAAGTAATCTATATGAAAGGCTGTCCCGTCAGACTGATTCGGGAGCGTCGGCGATGAAGCTGGATGAAAACTGTGTTGATAAGAAAACAACAGCACCGTCAACTTATATATATATAAGAGATTTTGCAGGCACATGCACGGAGAGGAAAGCAGAGCAGGCCCACTTTTGCCCTTAGCTCGGTTCTTGACACGAACAAGCGCCGCGCCGCGAATCTCGATTCGCGCATCGTTCAAACAAAATTAGCCCCTACCTAATCCCCTGCGGCAACCACGAGATCCCTGCAAATTTACGCACAAGCGATGCTGATATTTTCGTCAATTCGTGCTAGAAGAGTACGCTGCTTTCGTCACTCGTCGCTGTCGCCGGCTTTCCCTTCGGGAAGTTTTGGCAGTGAGGTAATCAACTTGCATCGGATGTCGTCATGGCAAGGTTTCGCGATGATGGTTACCTGATCGCTTCGATCAACACGTGTGTGTGACTAAAAATGTCACGACACTTCACAACGACGGGTCGCCCCGCCGCCTGCCATCCCATGAAGCGACGTCAAGATCAGTGGCACCAACGAATAGGACGGCATGTGCGACGTCAAGATCACGTGACACTAAAGATGGGTTGCCTTGGTGCTAAAAAATTGCTGCTGAGATGAGTGCAATTGAGCGAGTGTGCAAGGATTGACCCTTTCTTTCTTCATTTCCTTTCTCCTTCATTTATGTATTTCTTTCCCTTCTTTTCCTCTTTCTATCTAGGACCACGAGAGATTCAGGTGTCAGGGTCATCCCTAGGTTTTGAACCTACCTGATGGGTCAGATGGCGTGATTTTTTCTGTCTGATGTATCAGAAGTTTCTTAAAATGCTAGTGAAGCCTATTCAACAAATACGCGAGATGAGGCGTGCTCAACCGTGAAACTTGGTTTTCTAAAATAACAATAATCTGCTTACTATGCCAAAACATGGCATGCCACATTTTTGGGTCTACCGCCGTCTATGGTGATCACCGACGGGCAGCGCCTTGAGACTGAGCAGCTGCAGGACGAGAGCAGCATGGATGGAGTGCAACAGAGTGGGGGGAAGGAGACAGGGGAGCAGCAGATTGAGGAGCAGCAGATAGGGGAGGAGCAGATAGGGGACCAGCAGATGGTGGACCAGCAGCCAGGGGAGCAGCAGACAGGGGAGCCGCAGACGGGGGAGCAGGAGATGTGGGGAATTAGAGATGGTGGTCGTGTGGTGGCTTCTGGGACGATCACTGAACCGCTGCGTCGCTCCACTCGCATCACTCGTGGTATCCCGCCTCTTAAGTATGCTTGGGCTTTAGTGGTTGAGCCAGCGGGATTGGATGACGAGGAGGAGGACGAGGAGTGGACAGACCTGGACCCTGACGTGGTGGCTGACCCTGAGAGGCAGTGGGATATAGCGAAGATGACAGTGAAGGAGGCCTTGGGCTGCTGGAAGGGCGACAAGGTGAAGGAGGCGATGGATGAGGAGATGCGGAGCTTGATTGAGCAGGGGACTTGGGAGTTGGTTCCGCGTCCGCCAGGGGTGAATGTGATGAAGAACCGCTGGATTTTGAACACCAAGTTCCGACCGGATGGGATAGTGGAGCGTGAGAAGGCGAGGCTGGTGGTGAAGGGGTTCACGCAGGTGGTAGGGGTGGACTATGAGGAGACGTACGCCCCTGTGGGAAGCTATGTGACGGCACGTGTGATTCTGGCAATTGCAGCTGCACTTGATTTGGACCTGATGCAGCTGGATGTGAAGAACGCGTTCCTCCATGGCGTGCTGGACCGAGACCTTTACATGGAGCAGCCGAGCTACTACGAGGATGGGACTCCTCGTGTCTATAAGTTGGTGAAGAGTCTGTATGGCCTTAAGCAAAGCCCGATGCTGTGGTATAAGGCCTTGGATGGGGTGCTGCTTGGGGCTGGATGGAAGAAGAGCCAGGTGGATGAGGCTCTGTACTTCAAGAGTGATGTTGAGGGGGAGATGTGCTGGCTGCTGGTGTATGTGGATGACCTGCTTGCTGCCAGCCGTAGTCAGAGCATGCTACGGGAGCTGCGTGACCTGCTGCAGAGTGCCTTTCAGCTGCGGGAGATTAGCCCCGTGGAGAAATATCTGGGGTTGCAGCTGATTCGGGACAGGCCTACGAGGAGGCTGTGGCTGCACCAGGGGGCCTATGTGGACAAGGTCCATAGGCGCTTCTTTGACGAGGAGCAGCCGCTGCGAGTGCCTCGCACCCCTCTTTCCTCTGACCCTTTCAGTGTGCAGACCTTTGAGGATGTGGGATGGCAGTCTCGCCAGGAGGAGGAGTACAGGCAGAAGGTTGGATCCTTGCAGTTCGCGGCCTGTACCACCCATCCCGACATCTCGTTCGCCTGCAGCAAGCTGGGGTCGGGCCAGAGTGTGCGGAGTGATCAGCACTGGAAGGAGTTGGACCGGTGCTTAGCGTACTTGGTGGGGAGCAGGGATGTGGCGCTGGAGTTTGGTGGGGGGCCGGAGTCCTTGGAGCTGGTGGGCTACGCCGATGCTGATGATGCGGGAGACAAGCAGAACAGGACCAACACTGGTGGCTACATCTTCGTGCTCGGGGGTGCTGCTGTCTCTAGGGCGAGCCAGAGGATTCGTTGCGCCACCCTCTCCTCCACTGAGTCTGAGTATGTTGCTGCTGTGGAGGCTGGGAAGGAGGCGCGCAGGCTGCGCTTCCTGCTGGCAGAGTTTCAACTGCTGAGGAGCGAGGAGTCCACTACTCTCTTTGTGGACAACTCCTCCGCCATTTCAGTGGCAGGTGGTATGGGGCTCAAGGGGAGCCTCAAGCACATGGAGCGTCGCCACATGTGGCTGCAGCACATGGTCAAGCACAGGAAGCTGCAGCTGCAGTACATCCCTACGAGCGAGCAGCCTGCTGACTACCACACGAAGGCATTGCATTTCCCCCCCTTCAGCCGTTGCTTTGAGGCTGTGGGGCAGGTGAGGCTCTCAAGCAAGGGGAGTGAGACCTAGACACTTCATGATGTGGATGGTGCCATGGCCTATCCATGGCTGGTGCGGTGTGTGTTTGCACTTTGAGAGTGCTTCGTTTGTGTGTGTCCCTTTTCTTTTGGTGTGTATGCGTGTATGCATGCCCTGTGATTATAAAGGGCCTTGCTGTGGTATGGCAGGGGAGTGTTAGAGGGACCTACGACAGCAAGGGCCCTCGACGACCGTTTGACTTGGCAGGTCGACTATGAAAGACCAAGACGAGCAGTCCAGCACCGACCCTATGACTTGGCGATGGTTGCGTAGTGACGCGATATGACTACGGCAGCACTAAACAATAATTGCTGGGGTGGTGTTAGTCTAGGGAAATCGTGGGCATGAGTCTTGGGAGTTGTGAGTTATTCTCTGTGAGTCTCGCCATTTCTGGTTGTGCTGGGAGAATTGGCGAGCTCGGCATTGACTTCCCTGCTGAGTTGGGTTGGGAAGTTGACGAGGCGCGTTCGCTCACCCACACACCACTTTCGTGGGGTTGGGTTACTCCACAGCGCCACGCCAACTCTGTGAAACCTCCCCGTAGCCTATATCTACTGTATCTTGTGTGTTTGCTTTTGTATTCATAGTTGATATTGCAATTCTACTTGGCCCAAATGCTACTTCAATTCTTACTAAGTCCTTAGAGGCAAACGCTACCGAAACTCTACCAAGTTGCTGGCGCAACATCGTTCCCATAGAAGAAACTCTCTCGCTATCGCTACGCTCTCTAATATATTCCTTCAACCTGATGGGTCAGATGGCGTGATCTTTTCTGTCTGATGTATCAGAAGTTTCTTAAAATGCTAGTGAAGCCTATTCAACAAATACGCGAGATGAGGCGTGCTCAACCGTGAAACTTGGTTTTCTAAAATAACAATAATCTGCTTATTATGCCAAAACATGGCATGCCACATTTTTGGGTTGCGTAGCAACCTTAACATTTGTTTTCACGTTTTGCCACCGTTTTAAGGAATGAAGCTAACCCAGAAATTACAGCATGGCTTCAGACTGATAACCCCACCTGACTCCGAACCCCTCACACCCCTCAGCTCAACCCGAACACTCTAGCGCACCTCAAACCCGTGCGACCACCAATACGGAGCCTCCACTCACCGAGCTCCCCCCTCTACCTCAGTGCGTATCAATGTTTGTCAAAACATATGCATATCATTATCTAGGCTATATTGGGGCTAGCCTTAGGGGGTACAGAAACTTTCTCGACACTCTAGCCTTGTACCCCAACCTTGACCTAATCTCATCATCCTTGCCTTAGTTCTTAACATGGTATCAGAGCAGGAGGTCTCTAGGACCTAAGAATCGGGCCCACCTAACTGTGTTTCCCTAACTACTGCCTGCCTGCCTTGCCTATTGCCCGCGCGCGCCTCGGCTGCAGCGCGCGTCACCTTTTTTTTCGCGCGCGCCTCGACTGCTAGCGCGCGCGTCACTGTTTTTAGCGCGCGCCACTGCTGCAGCGCCGCGCGCCGGCCCGCGTCGCCCGCACAGCCCGCGTAGAGCCCGCGCAGCCCGCCGCCGCGCGCAGCCCGCCGTCGCCCTGCGCGCCGCGTCTGTCGCCAGTGCGGCCCGCCACTGCGCCGCGCGTCGCGTCGGCCACCCGCGCGGCCAGCTGCTGCTTAGCGCGCTGCTTTAGGAGCTTGCATGCGGCCGCTCCTGCCTGCTGCCTGCTGCCTGCTGCCTGCTGTCTCCTGCCTGCTGCCTGCTGCCTCTGTCTTTGCCTGTAGCCTGGTGCCTGCTGCCTCTTGTCTGCTACCTACTGCCTCCTGCCTCTGCCTGCTGCCATTATGACGACGCCTAGCGTTCTCGCGTTCGAGCCTGACGGTCGCCCCATAGAGTTCGCTGTGTGGTTAGATGATCTCCAACTGTTCCTCCTGACCGATGCCAAAGAGGGCGTTTCACTGTTCGATTACATGTCTGGCACTGCCGTTGCTCCTGCTGCCGATGCTCCTGCTTTCGAACGCTCGCAGTGGCAGACTCGCGATGCTGCTGCACGCCTAGCTATCAGGAACCATCTGCCGATTACTGAGCGCGCGCATTTCAGCCAGCACAAAACTGCTAAGACGCTGTAGTTGCGGGCTACTCCTCCCCGGCCACTGCAGCCATAGGTCGGCTCATGCTACCCTACCTGTTCCCCGACCTTTCCTCGTTCACCACTGCTGAGGACCTCATTTCCCACCTACGCGCTACTGACACTCGCTTTCGTGCCGCCCTTTCAGCCGAGTTCCGCGCCGCAAACCCCCCCCCCCCCCCCCCCCCCCCCCCCCGATGTACTTCACTCTCTATTTCCTCGTCACCCACCTGCCTGACACTCTTAGCTCAGTCAGGGACCACTTCCTAGCGCTAGACCCCCCCACTCTCACTGTCGACGACTTCGAGAAGCACCTCCTCGCAGTAGAGAAGAACATCCTCGCTGTAGGTGCTGCTCCTGGCACTCCTCCCTCTCCCCTCTTTGAGGGGTGCTCCCCCTCCCCTCTCACCCCCTCCTATGCCTCCGCAGCTGCTGCTCACGACTACCTTGGTGCTGAGGAGGTCAGGGCTGCTTCCGCTCCTAGTGGGAAGCGTCGCAGCGGCAGGGGCGGCAAGGGTGGCAGGGGAGGTGGGGGTGGCGGTGAAGGTGGCGGTGGTGCAGGCGGCGGGGGAGGTGGAGGTGGTGGAGGCGCTCGTGGGGGTGGAGGTGGTGGAGGTGGTGGTGGGGGCGGCGGAGGCACTGGGAGCGGTGGAGGTGGTAGCAGCGGCGGTGGGGGAGGAGGGGGGATGTCCCTGATGTTTTGATCCCCTAGATCCGCGCTGCTCGTCTCCAGCTCCGCGAGCGGTTCCAGCCGGACTTTCCTGTCCTGCGTCTGCACTCTGACAGAGGTGGTGAGTTCTCCTCAGACCTCCTGGTGGCCTTCTGTGCGGAGCACGGCATCCGCCAGACTTTCGCTCTTCCGGCCTCTCCGCAGCAGAATGGGGTTGCTGAGCGCCGCATTGGCTTAGTCATGGAGGTCGCTCGTACCTCCATGATCCATGCGGCTGCCCCCCATTTTCTGTGGCCGTTTGCGGTCCGGTACGCCGCGCATCAGCTCAACCTTTGGCCCCGTGTCTCCTTGCCGGAGACCTCGCCCACACTGCTGTGGACGGGGAAGGTTGGCGACGCGTCGCGTTTCCGGGTCTGGGGTGCTCGTGCTTTTGTCCGCGATACCGCTGCGGACAAACTCTCCCCTCGCGCCATTCCTTGCGTCTTCCTTGGCTTTGTCCCTGACGCGCCTGGCTGGCAGTTTTACGACCCCGCCTCGTGCCGTGTCTTTGCGTCTCAGGACGTCACCTTTGACGAGTCGGTCCCCTTTTACCGCCTCTTCCCCTACCGCACTGCTCCTCGCCCCCTCCCGCCGCTCTTTCTCGCCCCAGGTCCTCCCCAGGTAGACCCCCTCCATGCGCCAGGCCCTGCTCCTTCAGGTGTTTCTCAGGTAGACCCTCCCGTCCCTGCGCCTGTTGAGGTCACTGGTGACTCCGGTTCTGCTGGGGGTGGTGCTGTCCCTGGGGGTGCGGAGCTTGGGGGTGCGCAGCGTGGGGGTGCTGAGTCTGGGGGTGCTGAGCGTGAGGAGCCTGAGGGTGCGGAGCCTGGAGGTGCTGAGCCTGCGTGTGAGGAGCCTGGAGGTCCTGAGCGTGGGGGTGCTGCGTCTGGGGGTGCTACGCCTGAGGGTACTGAGTCTGGGGGTGAGTCGCCTGAGGGTTCTGAGACTGCTGTTACGGGGTCTCCTAGGAGTAGCCGTCTTCGTCCGCGTGTGCCTCTCACCTCCCAGCAGCTGCACGACTGGTACGGTCGCCGTCAGCTTCGCGCTTCTGCACCTCAGGGCTCTACAGCTGGGGGTTCTTCTACTGGCGTCACTGCAGCTGGGAGTGGTGCTGGTCCTTTGCCTGCTGGAGGTGCTGGTGTCGCTGGTCCCGGAGGTGCTCGTACTGGGGGTACTGGAGCTGCTGGGGCTGGCGGTGGTGTGTCTGAGGGTACTGCTGCTGGTGGCACTGCGGTTGGAGACCCTGGGCCTGGAGGTGCCGGTTCTGGGGGTGCTGCACCAGGAGGGGCTGAAGCTACTGATGGTGCTGGAGCTGCTGGAGGTACTGGAGCTGCTGAGGGTACTGGAGCTGCTGGAGGTGCTGGAGCTGCTGAGGGTGCTAGAGCTGCTGGAGGTGCTGGAGCTGCTGAGGGTGCTAGAGCTGCTGGTGCTGGTGGCACTGCACAGCCGCGCCTGCTCTTTGCTCCGCCGTCTCCGTCGTCTCTGCCACCGCCTGACTCCGTACCTCGCCAGGTTCTTAGCCTCCCGTCGTCTACTGGTCTTCCGTTACAGCCTGGCTCACCTCTGCCTGCTCCTTCTCCTTACACTGAGCAGACAGGGGGCCTTGCTGAGCGTCGTGAGCCTGCGTCGCGTCCTGTCTCACCTGTCCGTTCTGGTCGTTCCAGTCGTCATGTTCCTCGTCAGCGTCAGCCGGCTGTCCCCGGCCCTTCCCTTGTCGTCCGTCGTCCTTCCTTTCCTCCGCAGCGTGTTCCTCTGCCGTCTCCTCCTGCGTCTTCTCTGCATGTCGTTACGGACCCTGAGTGTGACCGGTTTCGTGCTGAGCACCCTACTGTCACGTGTCTGCTAGCCACTGTTGTCACTGACCCGTCGTTTGAGTCTAATGCTGCGTCTGCCTTTGTCGCTGAGCTGGTTGACTTTGCTGCTGCCTGTCGTCTAGACTACGCTGCTAGTCTTGTTACTGAGTCTGAGTCTGTCTGTCCTCCGTCCGTCGGGGGTGAGTGTGCTCTTGGCACGGACGTCCTTGAGGACAGGCAGGAGGACCTTGAGTGTCTTGCCGCCGCTGCGCCTCATCTCGTGGCCATGGTGCTTGCTTCTGAGGGAGACCCGGATGCACCAGACATCCCGACCCCGCGCTCTTACGCTGAGGCGATCGCGGGTGAGTACTCCTCTCAGTGGCAGACAGCCATGGACGCAGAGATGGCATCTTGGAAGTCCACAGACACCTACATCGACGAGGTTCCCCCTCCTGGGGCGAACATCGTCAGTGGCATGTGGATTTTCAGGGTAAAGCGGCCGCCAGGTTCTCCGCCTGTCTTCAAGGCTCGTTACGTTGCTCGTGGTTTCAGTCAGCGAGAGGGAGTTGACTTCTTCCAGACTTTCTCCCCCACCCCAAAGATGACCACTCTTCGGGTGCTGCTGCACGTTGCCGCTCAGCGTGACTACGAGCTTCACTCACTTGACTTCAGCACAGCTTTCTTACAGGGCAGCCTGCACAAGGAGATCTGGCTGCGCCGCTCACCCGGCTTCACTGGGTCGTTCCCTCCTGGTACCCAGTGGAGCCTCCGGCGGCCGGTCTACGGTCTCCGCCAGGCGCCACGTGAGTGGCACGACACACTGAGGACGACACTTGCAGCTCTTGGGTTTGCTCCTTCGACTGCTGACCCGTCGCTGTTTATGCGCACCGACACTTCGCTGCCGCCGTTCTACATCCTCGTGTACGTCGACGACTTGGTCTTTGCCACTGCTGACACTGAGGCTCTAGCCCTGGTGAAGTCGGAGCTGCAGAAGAGACACACGTGCACAGACCTGGGTGAACTGCGCAGCTACCTTGGCTTGCAGATCACCCGGGACAGAGCACGCCGCACCATCACACTGACTCAGTCACACATTGTGCAGCAGGTCCTTCAGCGCTTCGGCTTCACCTGGTCCTCAGCACAGCACACTCCTCTGGCTACAGGTCACTTGCTCTCAGCTCCACCTTCGGACGAGTCCGTAGAGCCGAGTGGTCCTTACTTAGAGCTAGTGGGCTGCCTCATGTACCTGATGACCTGCACTCGTCCTGACCTTGCGTACCCTCTTGGCCTTCTGGCTCGCTACGTGGCTCCTGGTCGGCACCGAAAGGTGCACATGGATGCTGCTAAGAGGGTACTGCGCTACTTGTGCAGTACATCGGCATGGGGCTCGTGCTTGGAGGGCGGAGTCCAGTTGTCCTCACTGGGCACTCAGACGCTTCTTGGGTTGACGACCAGGCTACACAGCGGTCGTCACAGGGTTACACGTTCAGCCTTGGCTCCGGCTCTGTTTCTTGGCGGTCTACACGCTCGTCTTCTGTTCTCAGCTCCAGTTGTGAGGCTGAGATCTACGCCACAGCCATGGCTGCACAGGAGTTACACTGGCTCACCTACCTGCTGACCGACCTGGGAGAGCGGCCTCGTTCTCCTCCAGTTCTGTACATAGACAACAAGGCCGCCATTGCTTTGTGTCAGGAGCACAGACTGGAGCACAGAACGAAGCACATCGCTCTGCGTTACTTCCTGGCTCGAGAGTTGCAGCAGCGGGGTCAGCTTCGCCTTGCTCACGTGGCCACTCGGGCCAACACTGCTGATATATTCACCAAGGCACTTCCGTCTGGTGACCATCAGCGCTTTTGTACTTTGTTGGGCCTTGTGCCTACGTTTCCACACTTGCTGTAGTCGCTGCTTGTACTATGATCTATATATATATACCTGCATGCTTGCTCTTGCTAGCTAGAGATAACTGTGTTGTTCTTGTTGCTTATATACCTCTGCATGTGGACTGGCCTTGTGGCCGTTTGCTTGTGCTCAGTGTGTGTGGTGACGTTGTGATCCACCCTGAGCTCTGTGTTTTGTTTCTTCTCTTGACTGGTCTTGTTGTGACCGTTGCTTGCTCTGGCTATCCCCCATTTCGCCTATGGGGGTGTGTCAAAACATATGCATATCATTATCTAGGCTATATTGGGGCTAGCCTTAGGGGGTACAGAAACTATCTCGACACTCTAGCCTTGTACCCCAACCTTGACCTAATCTCATCATTCTTGCCTTAGTTCTTAACAATGTTTGGTTCCTATAGCTGTACGAGATCATAATATAGAGCCGTAATAGAATAATAGCACAAATGTGATCAAATCAACATTCGACAAGATATCCTATGTGCAGGGCCCGGTAGGTTGATTTCCAAAATACTGTAAGGTAGGCGTGAACTTGAGTTGATTGAGAGACACAATACAATGGGCGTCAGAGGTGGTACTTCACCACTACCAACAAAAAACACACATTAATCGAATGACACCACATTCCAACAATCACACGCACTTCATTTCAATGTGCTGGCATACTTCAGCGCATTCCAGCACACTTGAGACTCATTTCGTACTACTCGCCCACGGCGGCGGCACTAGGGGTGAGTTGAGGCGCTCATAAGTGTACAATTTATGTACCGGATCCGTAGCTTGACTCCCGTCATTGCCGCTCCCACTCGCACCACTGCCAGTACTGCTGCTGTTGCCACCACTGGCACTGCTGCTCGCACGAGTGCTTTGATCACGGCCGAGAGCAGCATCGGGATTAACAGACCCTTCCGCTGGGGCATTGGGGTCCCTCTCTCCCTTGTATGCCTGCCCTGCGACTGCCACACTCGCCTCTGCCACCCACGCCACCCGCGGTGCCCTCTCCGCCTCAAAGGCATCAAGTGCAACCCTGCCAGGTCAAGAAGGGCGAGAGAGTAGGTGGGCTGGGTTGTGAGGCACCACACAAGAAGTCCGGTATATTAGTGCGACTTTTGAGAATTCTCAAAAGTCGCACTAATATACGAGAGAGTAGGTGGGTTGGGTTGTGAGGCACCACACAAGAAGTTCGCCTCAGAAGCAGCCCTCCACCCGCGGTGCCCACTCCGCCTCAAATTCGTCCCTGTCAGGCGAGGAGGTGCAGAAGAAGAGAATGGGTGGGTTTAGAGGCGCCTGTGCTGTGCATTAATCTATCCTCAATCCTCTATCCTCTAAAGCAGTACCCTCAAAGGCAGTCTGCCACGACACCCACGGTGCCCTTTCCGCCTTAAATGCATCTAGTGCTGCCTTGCCAGGCGAGGAGGGTCGAGAGAGTGGGTGGGTTGTGAGGCACCTGAGAAGTAGTCGGCACCAAAATAATAATAAAAAAACACCATGGTGCCCTCTCGCCTCGAAGGGATAGACCGCGAGCTTCAGCGCATCCTCCATTGCTTGCCGCACTGCTGGCCTCACTGGATAGAGTCATCAGAGAGCAAGAAGACTTTTGAGTCGACTCAAAAGTCACCTCGTTTTGAGTCGACTCAAAAGTCACCTCGTTTTGAATCAACTCAAAAGTCATCGTCCATTGCTTGCCACACTGCTGGCCTCACTGGATGGAGTCATCAGAGAGCAAGAAGGAAGCAAACAGTACTAGCTAACAACGGTGCACACCACACCACGCACTCGAGGGAGGGATGATCCGCAACCACTTGCCGTGCGAGCTCTAGCGCATCTTCAATTGCCAGGCTGCTGCCCTCATTGCACAGAGTGCTAAACAGAGCACGCGGCAACAAACAGTGCTAACTAGCAGCGGTGCACTATGCCACTCACTCGAGGGAGGGATGATCCGCAACCACTTGTCGTGCGAGCTCTAGCGCATCTTCAATTGCCAGGCTGCTGCCCTCATTGCACACATTCACCAAACAGCAAGCAGGAAACGAACTGTACTGACTAACAAGGTGCACTACACCACGCACTCGAGAGAGGGATGGTTGGCAACCACTTGTCGTGCGAGCTCCAGTGCATCCTCTATTGCCAGGCTGCTGCCCTGGCCTAGCGTGGGCGGCACCGCATGCGCTGCATCTGGACGGCACGATGGGGAAGATGCATTTGATGGGAGCAGGTGAGAAAGATGGAGGGAATATGGGGGGAGATGTGGGCGGCACCGCATGCGCTGCATCTGGTCGGCATGATGGGGAAGTTGCATTTGATGGGAGCATGCGAGAAAGATGGAGGGAATATGGGGGGAGATGTGGGTGGCACTGCACGCGCTGCATCTGGACGGCATGATGAGAAAGATGCAGATGATGGCGTGATGGGGACAGCATGTGAGAGAGGTGGGTGGGTGAATTTGAACGGTATCTCTGTCCCCGAGGCTGCAGACAATGATTGGAAAGGCAGATAATTAGCTGATTATACGATCAAAAAAAGACTGAGAAGCAGAGACGGAAAAGCCCATCTAGAGCACTTTGATTGCAGGCAGCCAGAACTTCATTTGAGCAGGGCACGTGAGAGCAGGGCACGTGAGAGCAGGGCACGTGAGAGCAGGGCACGTGAGAGCAGGACACGTGAGAGCAGGGCACGTGAGAGCAGGGCACGTGAGAGCAGGGCACGTGAGAGCAGGGCACGTGAGAGCAGGACACGTGAGAGCAGGGCACGTGAGAGCAGGGCACGTGAGAGCAGGGCACGTGAGAGCAGGGCACGTGAGAGCAGGACACATGAGAGCAGGGCACGTGAGAGCAGGGCACGTGAGAGCAGGCAGGGCATACAAGGAGTTTTGAAGTAGCCATGGGGCACGAGGGCACGAGGGCAAGAGGGCAAGAGGTTAAGAGGGCAAGAGGTCACGAGGGCAAGAGCGCAAGAGGGCAAGAGTGCAAGAGTGCAAGAGGTTAAGAGGCAGGAACGAGGTTGGGGCGCAGCAAGGGAGAGAGAGCACCTCCGATGATGAGGATACGGCCGTTGCGCCAGCGGGGAAGAGGAGGCACGTCCAGTACTCGGCGCTCCAAATACAGGTCGGGGGGGACAGCCTGGTTGCAGGGGGAGGGAGGGGTTGGGGAGGGAGGGGTTGGGGAGGGAGGGGTTGGGATGTGTGAGGCTGGCAGGCAAGGGAGAGGAGGCACGTCCAGCACCCTGCGCTCCAGAAACAGATCAGGGGGGACAGCCTGGTTGTAGGGCGAGGGAGGGGTTGGGGAAGGGTTTCGTCTGAGGCGTGCCAGTAACCACCTGGGAAGCGGAGGGACGGGTTGGGAAAGCCGAGGGACGTCCAGAACCTTGTGCTTGAAAAACAAGTCTTCATCTCCCCTCGCCCGCCTCCTTTCATTTGTTCGAGCAGAAACGAAGCACCCACCCTCCCACCGACCCACCCACCCACACACCTCGATCACATCCTTGTATGCAGGCCAGTCGGCAAAGAGCGCCCTCAGCTTCCCCCGCACCTCCTCTAGTCCGAGTCAACAAAGAAAACGCATCCACTCACCTCGATAACTCCCCCCTGCCCACCTCAATAACATCCTTGTATGCAGGCCAGTCGGCAAAGAGCGCCCTCAGCTTCCCCCGCACCTCCTCTAGTCCGAGTCAACTAAGAAAACGCATCCACTCACCTCGATAACTCCTCCCTGCCCTGTCAAGTTACAAAAGTATAAGTGTTGACTAAGGAAAGTGAAAAACAAACAAGATATAGCAAGCATAACCCTAACCCTAGGAAAACATAAAGTACACCTAGACTAACACAAATAAGCTATAACAAATATAGCTTGACACACCCCCATAGTCTAGGTGACGGTAGTCCTGTGGAAAGCAACACACAGCAAGGGTCACAGGACCAGTTCGCAAAAAAACACAACAAATCTCGGGGTGGATCTCAAGATCACCACACAGTCTGAGAACAAGCGAGGGGCCACAAGGCCAGTCCACATGCAAGGATATAGCAAATATAGATGATGCAAGAGTACACGACAAGCATCTCTAGAGAAGCACAGGGCCACAAAGCCAGTCTAGATGCATATATATATAGCAAATATAAAGAGATGCCAGAGTACAAAGCAAAGCATCTCTACACAAGCAAGTGAGGGCCTGTAGACACAAGGCCAAGCTGGGTGCAGAAACGCTGGTGGTCACAAGGCGGCCACGCCTTGGTGAAGATATCTGCAGTGTTGGCCTCAGAGACCACACGTACTACGCGCGTGCCTGGTCACGCTGCTGCAACTCACGCAGAAGGAAGTAACGAAGCTGGATGTGCTTCGCCTTCCCAACCAGTCGAGGCTCCTCACACAACAGGACAGCAGACCTGTTGTCGACGAACAAGACTGGGGAGAGCGAGGCCGCTCACCAAGGTCGGTGAGAAGGAAAGACAGCCAGCGAAGCTCCTGAGCGGCCATGGCCGCAGCGTACACCTCTGCCTCACAGCTGGAACCGGCGACAGACGACGCCCGAGTCGACCGCCACGAAACAACACCTGCTCCGAGGCTAAAAGATTACCCCTGTGTAGACCGGCGCGTCTCCGCGTCGTCGGCCCACGACGAGTCTGAGTAACCTGTGAGTGTAACTGGCTGCTTCCCTCCAAGGACAAGTCCCATGCCTGATGTACTCGCCACATACTTCGCCACCCTCTTAGCCGCGTACCAGTGGGAAGGTCGGTGTCTCCCAGGCGCAACAAAAAGCGCAAGTACGCTAAGAGGGTAAGCTAGGTCTGGGCGAGTGCAGGTCATCAGGTACATGAGACAACCCACCAGCTCAGGATATGGACCGCTGGACTCAGATGACTCGTCCGAAGGTGGAGCCGTGAGCCCATGATCCACATCAAGAGGGGTGAGCTGTACCTTGGAGAACAGGAAGCGAAACTGCGTGAGGATCTGCTCGACCATATGCGACTGAGTCAGCGTAATGGTGCGAGCTGCCCTGTCCCTGGTGATCTGCAGGCCAAGGTAGTGCTACAGCTCACCAAGGTCAGTGCAAGTGTGTCTCCTCTGCAGTTCCTCCTTCACGGAGGCCAGCGCGCGTCGGTCGGGGGTGGCGAACACCAGGTCGTCGACGTAGACCAGGACAAAGAACGGGGTCGACCCACGGCGAACGAACAGTGACGGGTCAGCAGACGACGGAAAGAAGTCAAGCGCTGCAAGGGTCGAGCGAAGTGTGTCGTGCCACTCACGTGGAGCCTGACGCAGGCCGTAGACTGGTCGACGCAGCTGCCACTGGGTCCCAGGTGGGAAAGAGCCAGTGAAGCCAGGCGGGCGACGCAGCCAGATCTGCTCGTGCAGGCTCCCCTGAAGGAACGCGGTGGAAAAGTCCAAGGAGTGCAACTCGTAGTCGCGCTGTGCTGCAATATGCAGCAACACCCGAAGAGTATTCATCTTCGGGGTGGGAGCGAAGGTCTGGAAGAAGTCCACCCCCTCTCGCTGACTGAAGCCTCTCGCCACATAGCGCGCCTTGAACACAGGTGGTGATCCAGACGGCCGCTTCATCTTGTAGAGCCATCGGCCACTGACGACGTTCGTCCCAGGTGGTGGGACTGCGTCGACGTAAGTGCCTGTGGACCTATAAGATGCCATCTCTGCCTCCTCAGATGCTATCCAGTACGAAGCCCAAGGTCCCGAGACCGCCTCGGCGTGAGTGCGAGGTATCGGGATGTCAAGGGCGTCTGGATCTCCTTCAGGGGCAAATAGCATGGCGCACAGATGAGGAACAGCGGCCGCAAGGAAAGAGAGGAGCACCCCCAGAGAACAGAGAACGAGCAGGGCCACTCACCACGTGAGCAGCGTAGTCAAGGCGGTGGGAAGAGGCAAAGCCAGCGACAATGGTAACAAGAGCTGAGACAGACGACAAGGGTGCAGTCGGGTGAGTGACCAACGCGGACAAAACACGGGAGACGACAGGACGGGAGGCACGGAGGTAGTCGGACAACGGGTCGTGAAGCACAGTGAGGGACGACTCAGGGGGCTGTGGAAGGACAGGTGGAGGCGGAACACGAGAGCGAAGAACAAGGTGGAACGGACCGTCTGCACGGTAACGGGACCGACGACGCTCTGGGAACACAGCACGACTGAGGGGAGAACGACGAGTCCACTGGGACAAGGAAAGGGACTCAACAGGGGGAACAGGAGGGGATGGTAGGGGACCACGAACAAAGCGTGCAGGTGCTGGGTCAGGGAGGTCGCGTAGTCGCAGTCGCTGCTGCTCCGCCTCCTCTGGCGTCTGGTGCGACGGTACCGGCCCCTGCTGCTGCACCTGTGGCTCCGCTTCTGCCCTCTCCTGCTGCGACTGCAGCTGCACCCGCTGCTGCAACTGGGACTCCTGCACTACACTCTCCTGCTGCGGCCGTGACTCCTCCTCTACTCTCTCCTGCTGGGTCCGTAACTGTACCTGCTGCTGCGGGTGGGACTCCTGCGCTACCCTCTCCTGCTGCGGCCGTGACTGCTCTGCTACTCTCTCCTGCTGGGTCTGTAACTGTACCTGCTGCTGCGGGTGGGACTCCTGCTCTACCCTCTCCTGGTGCGGCCGGGACTGCTCCTCTACTCTCTCCTGGTGTGTCTGTAACTGCACCTGCTGCTGCGGGCGGGACTCCTGCTCTACCCTCTCCTGGTGTGGCCGTGACTCCTCCTCTACTCTCTCCTGCTGCTGCTGCTGCAGCTGCTGCTGTGTCCTCTCAAACTGCTCACGCTCCTCCCTCTCCAACCAAAGGAGACACTGCTCACGGGTCAGGAAACGTACAGTGCGCGGTGTAGGCGCCACAGTGCCAGTGCCTCCAGCTCCAGCACCCCCAGAACCAGCACCTCCACCACCGACACCCCCGGGGCCTCCAGTACCTCCCGCAGGAACACCCCCAGGTTCCGCAGCAACCGGCGGCAGAGAAGAACGAGGGGGAAACTGCGGGACGGACGGGAAGCCAGGGGGTGAGGCGGGGCGAGGCCGCCGACTCGAGGCTGCCGTGCTCCACAGGAGTGACCTCCACTCCCACAACCCCTGCACCCCCAGGGCCGACACCACCAGCTCCTGCAGCCCCAGTACCCTCACCCTCCGCAACTGCACCTCCCGCACCCCTAGACACGATAGGGACTGGACGCTGCGGGGGGGACGACTGCGGAGTGACGTGCGACACACCTGGCGGGGCAGGACGCGAAGGGGGGGGGGCTACCGGGGCGACTGGGGGAGGCTCAAGGGTGAGGAACATCGGGGGGGAAAAGACCTCAGTACCTCGGTGGGGGCGACTCCTGTAGTAACAGACAGACTCGTCGAACGTGACGTCCTGAGAAGCGAAGAACCCGCAGGTGACCGGGTCGTAGAACACCCAGCCGGAGGCGTCCAAAGGAAAGCCAAGAAAGACGCAGGCACGAGTGCGCGGAGACAACTTGTTCGCGCCAGGGGCGCGAACGTGAGCCAAACAACCCCAGACACGGAAGTCAGCTGCTACACCCTGTAAACCTGACCAGAGAGAGACCGGCGTCACTTGTGGCCGTGCGTCACTGGGCCACAGGTTCAGCTGGTGCGCGGCGTAGCGGACCGCCTGAGGCCACAAGAACTGAGGGGCACCGGCATGGCACATGGAGGTCCGGGCGACCTCCATGACCAGACCGATGCGACGCTCGGCTACCCCGTTCTGCTGCGGCGAGGCTGGTAGCGTGTACGACTGAATGACTCCCCGACCCTGACAGAACGTCTCCAAACGAGTGGAAGAAAACTCACCACCACGGTCCGAGTGTAGGCGAAGCCCACACAGGCCCTGGGCACCACCCCACGCTATTAGCCACGGCTCGAGGACGGTAGGCACGTCGGCCTTCCGTTGCAAGGGGAAAACCGTGGTGTAGCGGGAGTAGTCGTCCACCACAATCAGGAAGTAGCGCTCCTGACGTGGTCCAAGGACCGGGGAGGGGCCCCAGACGTCCAAGTGCAGGGTCTGGAGGGGAGCCGTGGTGGGGGGGAACGAGGAGGAGTGAGGGGCAGCGCGCTGCCGACCCTCGACGCAAGGAGTGCACAGCGGCGCAGGCGAGCGAGGAAGCGGGGCAAGCGACTCTGGGAGACATGAGACCAGACGGTAACGTGCCATCCTACTAAGACGTGCGAACGACGGGTGACCTAGACGGTGGTGCCAGAGGACAGACGGGTGGGTGAGGGAGCGACAGTCGCACGACACAGCAGCTACCTGACCTGACCTGGCCTGACCCAGTGCGGTGGGACCCAGTGCGGTGGGACCCAGTGTGTAGTGAGTACAGACCAGAGCCCGGCTCCCTGTGAAAAGTGGCCAGAGGGGCCCCAGTGGTACCGACTGTGCAGGAGGCAACAGGCTCGTCCAGTGGGAAAGTGGTGACTACACCTAGGTCGTGGAGGTGACTGACACCCACCAGGTTCCTAGAGAACGAGGGGGTGTAGTAACCTGTAAGAAAACCTGAGGGAGCCGCCGGACACGGGAGAGTGGTGGTGCTGCGAGCAACTACACGTCCCACAGAGGGGTCAGCTAAGGCGACAGTGACTGGAGTGCGCAGTGGTGTGAGGTCAGTACAGTGGCGAAAGAAACAGCTGGACGCTCCAGAGTCTAGGGTGAAGGAAAGCTGTGCAGTCTGTGGGGTCGCACCCGAACCAGCTACAAAAGCTAGTGCTAGACTAGTGGTAGCTGCACCTCCTACACAAAGACCCTCAGAGGCGCCTGGACTGGAAACAACACACGCACCAAGACTGGAAACACAGGTCTCTACTCGTGCAGCCGGGAACAGTCCTAGACCAGGTAGGTGAGACTCAACTAGTGCAGCAGTGCGCTGGCGAAGTCGCGAGGGCCAGTGCGGTGTAATAGCGTGAGGACCAAAACGCTCACGGTGAAGGTCGTCGAGTCGACGGTAGCAGCTGGACGCAGAGTGATCAGGACTCCAGCAGGTAGTGCCAGCACCAGGGCCTGTCAAGGCCCGGTACCCGCAGGGGCCGACGTCTCGCCCACTGCTAGCTGAGCCACTGCTGAGGGCTCCACACTTTGGACCCGCAGGTCCCCACTGCCGGGAGTGCTGCGGCTGGCCCTGCTGCTGTAGGACTCGAGTACAAGCCATGTGAGTAGCTAGAAACGGGGGTGGTGCTGGCAGGTGGGCCTAAACTGCTGCTGGTGGTAGGCTACCCTGCTGCTGGTTCCGCTGGGGGCAGCCTAAGCTGCTGCTGGTGCACTAGCGGTAGTCTAAGCTGCTGCTCGAGCGCTGGGGCAGCCTAAACTGCTGCTACTGGTGCTGCTGGTACAGGTGGGGCACCGGGTGCGGTTCTGTGCGGTTATGTGCAGTTCAGTGCGGTTCTGCGGGGTGGAGAGTACCGGGTGGGGCGGCTGATTCCGGGTGAGGTGACTGGAACGGGTGGGGCAGCAACTCTGACTGGTACAGGTGGGGCAGCGGGTGCGGTTCTGTGCGGTTATGTGCAGTTCTGTGCGGTTCTGCGGGGTGGAGAGTACCGGGTGGGGCGGCTGATTCCGGGTGAGGTGACTCGAGCGGGTGGGGTTGCAGATATGGCTGGGGCGGCGGGCTACAGGTGAGGCAGTGGGAACGGGTGAGGGCGGCAGAACTGGTTGGGGCGGCCTGTTAAGGGTGGGGCGGCAGAACTGGGAAGGGGCGGCTATTCTGGCTGGGGCGGCTTGCTAAGGCAGTGGGGACGGGTGGGGCGTCGAGCTACGGGGAAGGCTGTGGGACGGGTTGCAGGTGGCGCGGCGCGCAGGCCGCTCGGGCTGCTGTGCGAGCGGACGGGCGAGCAGTTGTGCGTGCTGCTGTGTGTGCCGTCGCACGCGGCTGCGCGCGCGACCGTTCGTACAGGTGCGTGCGACTACGCGAGCGGATGTACGGGCAGCGCGACGGGGGGAAAAGGTAGGGCGCGACGGGGGAGAACGGGCAGGTCGCGACGAGGGGGGGGGGAGAGTAACGACGCGACGGATCTGACGGGTGAGGCGACGGGAAAACGGGTGGCGCGCGGGGTACGGGGCACTACGAGACACGGATTGACGGGGCGCTACGGGCTAAGGCGCTTCGGGCTAGGGCGCTTCGGGCTAGGGCACGTTACGGGGCGGTGGGCCCATGGGATCGTTTTATCGCTCTATACCATGTCAAGTTACAAAAGTATAAGTGAAAAACAAACAAGATATAGCAAGCATAACCCTAACCCTAGGAAAACATAAAGTACACCTAGACTAACACAAATAAGCTATAACAAATATAGCTTGACATGCCCACCTCAATAACATCCTTGCATGCAGGCCAGTCGTCAAAGAGCACCCTCAGCTTCCCCCGCACCTCCTCTAGTCCGAGTCAACTAAGAAAACGCATCCACTCACCTCGATAACTCCCCCCTGCCCACCTCAATAACATCCTTGTATGCAGGCCAGTCGGCAAAAAGCGCCCTGATCTTCCCCCGCACTTCCTCCCCATTCGCTGAACGCTGCTGTGTCAGCCCCCTCCCCTGCTCGTCCGCACACACAACAGGACAAAAATCTCCGCCCCACCGAGGTCCCCCACTGCGGCCGTCCTCCCGCCGCCCCTCGTGAAGCACGTGCGGTAGGGGCGCGAGTGCTGGAGGTGGGGAGGAAGGGAGCGAGGGAGGGAGGGAGGGAGCGAGGGAGGGAGGGAATTAGGGAGGGAGGGAGGGAGGGAGGGAGGGCGGGAGGGAGGTAGGGAGGGAGGGAGGGAGGGAGCGAGGGAGGGAGGGAGGGGGCGTGGGTGGGTGGGTGGGTGGGAACAGCAACCATGTTACCGTGTCAGAGAGGTTAAACGAGACACACAGTCACATTCCAAACATCGTTGTGCAAGGGAAAAAAACAAGTCAACGGCACCCAGCGGGCTTCTGAATTTCCCTAAGGACAAGGCAATTGCACCTCAAAGCTCAGAGATTCACGGGGACCAAGCCAGTTCCAGGCTGCAGCCAGTGTTCTCCTGTTTGACCCACAGCAACCCGTGTTGTGAATCAAGCTATGAGCGCACGCACGTCGAAGCTCACAGCCGCACCTCAAAGCTCACAGCCGCACGATCTCATTCACACCTCAAAGCTCACAGCCGCACGATCTCATTCACACCTCAAAGCTCACAGCCGCACGATCTCATTCACACCTCGAAGCTCACAGTCTCGCGGGGAGCAGCTCCGAGCCACATGGTGCGGCCGTTATCCCGCGGCGGGCCCCACCGCTCCCTCTCCTCGCCCTCCCTCAACACATGCTGTCTCACAGCCGATCGCACCCCGTCCGTGCCGATCAGCAGATCCGCCTGAGGCATAGAGGGAGATAGACAGGAACGACAATCTCGTTGGTCTGCAGTCACTACGCTTGCAGGCTTGAGCAGTCACTGGCACCCCATCCGTGCCGATCAGCAGATCCGCCTGCGACACGAAGCACAGATGAACGCACCAAAACACAGACATGCAGCATTAGCAGACGCTTTAGTTCACCTCCTTCAACACATGCTGCCTCACTGCCGCCCGCACCCCGTCCGTGCCCATCAGAAGGTCCGCCTGCAACACAGAGTGACAGAGAGGCAGGAGGGGCAGGCTCTTGAGTTCACATCACATCAGAGTCTCTAAGCCAAGCAGGCTTTAGAGGTCACTGGCAGGCGGCCTGTCCGCACCCCACCAGCAGATCCGCTCATGTAACGCACAGCTCATGTAACGCACAGCTCATGTAACGCACAGCTCATGCAACGCACAGCTCATGTAACGCACAGCTCATGTAACGTGCAGCTCATGTAATGCACAGCTCATGTAACGCACAGCTCATGTAACGTGCAGCTCATGTAACGTGCAGCTCATGTAACGCACAGCTCATGTAACGCACAGCTCATGTAACGCACAGCTCATGTAACGCACAGCTCATGCAACGCACAGCTCATGTAACGCACAGCTCATGTAACGTGCAGCTCATGTAATGCACAGCTCATGTAACGCACAGCTCATGTAACGTGCAGCTCATGTAACGTGCAGCTCATGTAACGCACAGCTCATCTAACGCACAGCTCATGTAACGCACAGCTCATGTAACACACAGCTCATGCAACGCACAGCTCATGTAACGCACAGCTCATGTAACGTGCAGCTCATGTAATGCACAGCTCATGTAACGCACAGCTCATGTAACGTGCAGCTCATGTAACGTGCAGCTCATGTAACGCACAGCTCATGTAACGCACAGCTCATGTAACGCACAGCTCATGTAACGCACAGCTCATGTAACACACAGCTCATGTAACGCGCAGCTCATGTAACCCGCATCTCATGTAACGCGCAGCTCATGTGACGTGCAGCTCATGTAACGCACAGCTCATGTAACGCACAGCTCATGTAATGCACAGCTCATGTAACGCACAGCTCATGTAACGCGCAGCTCATGTAACGCACAGCTCATGTAATGCGCAGCTCATGTAACGCACAGCTCATGTAACGCACAGCTCATGTAACGCACAGATCATGTAACGCACAGCTCATGTAACGCAAAGCTCATGTAACGCACAGCTCATGTAACGCACAGCTCATGTAACGCACAGCTCATGTAACGCACAGTTCATGTAACGCACAGCTCATGTAACGCACCGCTTATGCAACGTGCTGCTTACATCATACACCCCCTATATTACGTGCCACCATGCAGTTCTGTGCGAAGCTCGAGCGGCCCTGCTTACCTCTCCACTGAATGGCTGCTCGTGGCGAGTGAAGTGGGCCGTCACGCGCCCATTGGCCTGGCAGAGTGAGTGAGTGAGCATGGGGACGGGGAGCAAAGCGCACCAGGCAAACAAACCAGAGGCAAGGGCGAGAGGAGAGAGGAGTTTTGAGGTGCCTCAAACTTTGGCCTGGCAGAGTGAGTGAGTGAACATGGGGATGGGGAGCAAAGCACACCAGGCAAACAAATCAGAGACAAGGGCGAATGAGAGGAGAGTGGAGGGGCGAGGGAGACTAAGAGAGTGGAGCGAGTGAGAGGAACAGAGAGAGTTGGATGAGAGGACGAGTGAGGGGCAAGGGAGAGGAAGAGGGGGCCTGCAGCTCTCTGGCAGGGCACTAAGCGCTCTGAAGCACCTGCAGCATTCTCTAGGCGACTTTAAACCCACCTGGTCCACGTGCGGGCACTAAGCGACTCAATGCTTTCTTGTCATAGTGTGGTAGAGAAAGGTCCTGGACCATGCCTCGTAACTTGGTCGTTTCGTGCTCCTTGAAGATCACATTCTCTCTCGTGCGCTTAACCTTCATCTCGCTTTCCCTCAGTTTAATTGAACTTCCGAGATTCTCCTCATTGTATCCTGAAAGTGAACCTCCTCTACAAAATTCAGCTTCTCCCGCCGAAGGTTTTATTCGTCTTCGAACCCACAAGGAGAAAACGATCCGGTGTGCTCTTCTGCTGAATCCATTGTGGAGTCTCTTAGTCCGAGAAGATTTAGGCTCATGTAAGTCTACTTATGTGGTTGTGATGCCTGCTTTGCTTTATGGCACAACTTCGGAGATACAATTGTCGGATAACTTTCAGGCTCGGGCTCCCGTCAAATGCGGCGTGGTTCAACGGTCCGGAAAATTATCGTGGGGCCACCATACGATGCAAAAAATGAGGGGTGACCGAATTACTGCAGATCAACTCACCAGATGCTCTCGAGATTGACGCTCTCAATTCTCGAACAACACCTTGATTTGATCGTGTGTGCTAGTGACGAGGTTGTGATTCGTTAAAACGCAATTCCGTGCCTGTGTTTTAGCTCTGCAGCACTTCGAGAGCGAGCCCCCAGCGGATGGAGAGGCGGCCGTCAGCCGGCGCCATGGCCTCCAGCAGCACCTCGCCCGATGGGGAGAGTTGCCACAGGCTGGGCACATGCGCGCCTTGCGATGGGAACTACGAGGAAGGGGGTGGGGGGCGGGTGGAGGGAAGTTGACTCCAGAAGCACCTTGCTGGATGGGGCGAGCTCCCATAGGCTGGGAACATGCGCTCCTTGGAATGAAATATGCAGGTAAGGGGGAAGGGAGTGAGAGGGGGGAAGATGAGAAGGGAAGCGGCCTCCGGTAGCACCTCGCCTGATCCTGATGCGCGCCTTGCGACGACAGCCGTGGGGAGTGGGGCATAGGGGGAGGGGGGAAGGTGAGGTGAGAAGGGAAGTGGCCTCCAGAAGCACCTCGCCCGACGGGACGGGGCGAGGTGGTAAGCCTTGTAAGTCGACTCAATGGTCATCTGTTACAGCAACAGCAATGGCGACACTTTTGAGATTTCTCAAAAGTGACGCCAATACACACGACACGGCACGCCTTGTGAGTCAACATATAACCCAGACCCCAAGACGGTCCTTTAGAGTAGACTGAAGAGTAACATCTTACAGCATCAGCAATGGCGAGGTCGATACATGCATCTCACTGCCGCCAGCCCGTTGGGTTTTATCCCCACAGTACGGCGAAAACCAAAGACCCGAGATTCTCCTTATAAGTCATCTCTTACAGCATCAGCAATGGTGGGATCGATGCATCGCAGCGCGGCCAGCCCATTGGGCTGAATTCCCACCATGCGCCCCACCCTCTCGGGGTCACGCCCCTCCGCCTTCTCATACACCTGCCACGGAGGGGAACACAGAACATCAGACCTCGCAAACGCAACCTTTGTACACCTGCCATGCATGGGAAACACCGGAATCGTAGACCCTTTCTTGTTCACGTGGCGCGGGGAGCAACATCCGCGAACTTCCTGGCGCGGGGAGCGAAGCTGTAAGGCAGCAGGTGAGGGGGGAAGCTCTTTGTCACCTCGCCTTGCAGTGAAAGAAACTGTCTAACAGTCAGTAAGGCACCAACCTGAACGTCAACTCCCTGCCGGCGAAGAGCAATGGCTGCCGTCAGACCGGCAATCCCGCCGCCCACTATGATCGCATTTCTCAAGAGGGGCCTTTCCGCGAACTTTTGTTGGGACGAATCTCCCTTCGAATCCGCATCTGTCTTTACAGCAGCCGTGGGAATGGCGGCCTCGAAACAGCAGGAGCGCCTGAAATGCCGCGTTGTGTGGCTAACTTTTAGAATGCGGATATTTGAAGAATAGTAGGATGAAGCATTCATGGATTGTTGCGAGGGGAAGGAGACGGGGTGATCAGCAGCTCTTGGGATTATAGCGAGGACATGGCTGTAGGTCAGGTGATTATAACGAGAGGGAACTCCTAGCTGCATCATGCTTGTATTTTTGAAGCGTAGGAAAGAGGAGAAAACGTTTCCTTTCCTTCGCCTCGACTTCTGGAAAGGAACGCCGCTATGCAACGAAAACAATAACAATTATCGTAGGATGGGATGGGAGCCTGTGATGAAAGAAACATTAGAAACTCTGAGGAATGTCCAGCGCGTGTGATGCGTCAACACCGCATGTATTGGTCAGTATCACGCACAAGAAAAAACGCCAGCGTCATGAATGAGAGATGTTTTTGCTGTGGTAGTGTGGAGCTGTGGGACGGCAGAGCCATGCCGAATTCGACTCAGATTGTTGTGTGATGCGTTACTCGAAGTGAAGAATGTGAGGAATACATCACGACTCTTTTTGGGTTGCGAAGCAACCTATTACAATCGTTATGTACAATTTTTTTTTCATCCTCTATGTTTATAGAAGATGAAGAAAAAATGTTCTGGACAATATACTAAGTGACTACTAGGTATTTGCCATGGTACTATATGGATGAAATATTTTACTGTGAATTCGTGGCTGTTAATTCTGTAATGCATAGGTGATATTCTGTTATGCATTAATGAAGAAGCTTGCGTGCATGTACCGGTATGCATAATATAGAATGCATAATGCATGAATACTGTATGATGCATATGCTGCAGTGATGCATACTAAATACGTACTTCTGTATACCAGTCCTGTGTATAGTGAAATGAATGCATACGGTAATGATGGAAATGCGTGAAAGTTGACTGACCCATACACTAGGCTACCGCATCCCCTGCCTAGCATGGGGGGGAAGTCAATAGCCTAATATTTGAATCATCCAACCGTCACATGAAACAACACAATCTGTGTACCCTAAAAAAATGATCAATTCTATCAAATCCAGTTCGAGTGGACACACTCACTGAGTGCGCAAAGAACCTTCTCGGAAATGACAGGTCGATCGTTTGTTTAAAACCCACAGATATGCATTGTTACTGCAATGCATATGAATGTACACACACATTCACGCAAAGATTAAAGCTCAATGCCTCAACAGCTAAAAGAAAAACCAGAACAAGCAAAATAAGACCACAACAATATATATAATCCTTCCAAGACCCTACACAGCAATATCTTTCCACCTTCCAATCTAACCTTCACTTCTTAAAGCCAGCAGCTAAAATAGTGACCCCCCCCTTCTAGTTGGGTCCAACTTGAAAACGGAAGTTTTGGGAAAGTTGGAAGTTACGTGTGAGATTTTCTTTCAACACCAGAGTTTGCCTCAAAGTGAAGGGGGAACGATTGGATCATATTTATGAACTCTGATTGGTGACAAACTTTCTCGCACATACATGTGCGATTTTGGCGCAAAGCTGCACGACGTGCACAGCTTCCAATCGTTCCAGTGAATGTACCAGAAGCTTTGCGTGACGCAATGACACAAGCAGTTCCGACAACCCACACACATGCAACGAGAATGTTTAGGTGATCCAGAGCTAGTCGACCTGTGAGACCAGTGCAGCGAAGGACCTGCGGCCTGCTCTTTTAGAATAATATTAACAAGGGGAGGGGAGGGGACGGTAGTGAGGAATAACGACGGGAAAGATCAAGGGCGAGAGGAACAAGGACGGGAATGGAAGCGGAGATGGGAAGAGCGACGTTAGGGGAGCGGAGAGAGGAAGAAAGACTGGAGGGGAGCGGAGACACCGAGGGCGAAGAAAGGGGATGGGAGAACAACCAGAAGACGCGAAGGTAGGGGAGTTCTTGAGGGCGACGAGACGGGATGGAATAAAGGTACGCTGATCGAAAGGAAAGGGTGATGGCAATATCGTGGGGAAGGGAAGGGAGGGGCGATGGCGTGGGTAGAGAGGAGCGCGATGGCGACTACTCGAGAGCGTTTCGTGGTGCCGACAGTGACAGGAACCGTAACGATCGCGCGAGAGGCGAAAGAGCACTTCGCCGGAAGGCAAGCATATATATAACACCGGGACAGAGCGAAGAAGAGAGCGAGGGCGATGGGAGAGAGGGCGACGGGAGAGAGGGCGACGGGAAGGGCGCGGAGAGAGAGAGCACGACGGGAAGGGAGGGGCGAGAGAGAGGGCGACGGGAAGGGAGCGGAGAGAGAGAGCGCGATGGGAAGGGAGGGGGGAGAGAGAGGGCGACGGGAAGGGAGGGGAGAGAGAGAGGGCGGCGGGAAGGGAGGCGACGGGAAGGGCGCGGATAGAGAGAGCGCGACGAGATGAGAGGGGCGAGAGAGAGGGCGACGAGAAGGGCGCGGAGAGAGAGAGCGCGATGGGAAGGGAGGGGCGAGAGAGAGGGCGACGGGAAGGGAGGGGAGAGAGAGAGCGCGATGGGAAGGGAGGCGACGGGAAGGGCACGGATAGAGAGAGCGCGACGAGATGAGAGGGGCGAGAGAGAGGGCGACGAGAAGGGCGCGGAGAGAGAGAGCGCGACGGGAATGGAGGGGCGAGAGAGAGGGCGACAGGACAGGAGGGGAGAGCTCGTAAGCGATGGGACGAAATGGGAAAAACGGGGTGGGAGACGAGAGAATGTTTCGAGGCAAGCGCGAATGCGAAGAGGTGGGTGATGGGCGGGGGGGGACGGAATAAGGCCGCCGCGAGGGCAATTCCACGCGAATGTGAAGGTGATGAGCTGAGCGACGAAAGGGTGTTTCGGCGGCGAGCGCGTTCAACCGAAAAATCTCGAGGCAAGTATCGCTACGAGATGCGTAAGATCCCTCGTCACTAGGCCACGAATAGAAGGATGTGGATGAAATCTATAAAAATGGTAGTTGCCTAGGCAAAAATGCCTACGTTTTCAGCTATTCTAAGCTTGGCTAAACTAGAGACTAGAGTGGAAAGAAGTAGTGGAACCCAGGTCCAGCTTGAAGTTGGAGTTGGGCCCAACTGTGAAGAAATGAGGAATGATTGACTAAGGGAAAGGTTGGGTACAAGTACAAACCCTAGAAATGTGTTGTACCCCATATGTGCTACCCCACTATAGCCTACATAGGCTAAGTCATATAAGTCTGACACACCCCCATAGGCAAAGTGGGGGAGAACAAGGGGTCACAAGACCAGTCAAGCAAAGCAAAACAAGCTCAGGGTGGATCACAACGTCACCACACATTCCGAGCACAAGTTCAAGGCCACAGGGCCAGCTCACATGCAAGATCATATATAAAGGTAAACAAGCAAGTGCAGGTATAGAAAGATCACAGTACAAGCAAGGTCAAGAAGTGAGCAAGTGAGGCCAAGTAGGCACAAGACCTAGCATCGTATAGCAGCGCTGATGATCACAAGGCGGAAGGGCATTGGTAAAGATATCAGCAGTGTTGGCCTCAGAGGCCACGTAAGCAAGGCGCAGCTGACCACGCTGCTGCAGCTCACGAGCAAGGAAGTAGCGCAGAGCAATGTGCTTCGTTCTGTGCTCCAGTCTGTGCTCCCGACACAAGGCCAGCATGGCCTTGTTGTCTATGTACAGAACTGGAGGAGAACGAGGCGGCTCTCCTAGGTCAGTCAGCATGTAGGTGAGCCAGCGTAGCTCCTGTGCAGCCATGGCCCCCGCGTAGATCTCAGCCTCACAGCTGGAGCCGAGAACAGAAGACGAGCGGGTAGACCGCCACGAAACAGAGCCGGAACCAAGGCTGAAGGTGTAACCCTGTGACGACCGCTGCGTAGCCTCGTCGTCAGCCCAAGAAGCGTCTGCGTGACATGTGAGGACCACTGAACGCCGCCCTCCAAACACTAGCCCCATGCCCGACGTACTGCACAAGTAGCGCAACACCCTCTTCGCTGCAGCCATGTGCTCTGGTCGGTGTCTCCCAGGAGCAACATAGCGTGCCAAGATGCTAAGAGGGTATGCAAGGTCAGGTCGTGTGCAGGTCATCAGGTACATGAGGCAGCCAACAAGCTCTGGGTACGGGCCACTCGGCTCTACGGACTCATCCGAAGGCAGAGCTGAGAGCGAGTGGCGAGTAGACAGAGGAGTGGCCTGAGGCGAGGAGTACGTGAAGTCGAAGCGCTGAAGGACCTGCTGCACCATGTGTGACTGAGTCAGAGTAATGGTGCGCTGTGCTCTGTCCCGGGTGATCTGCAAGCCAAGATAGCTGCGCAGTTCACCCAGGTCTGTGCACGTGTGTCTCTTCTGCAGCTCGGACTTCACGTGGGCGAGTTCAGCAGTGTCAGCTGTGGCAAAGACCAAGTCGTCGACGTACACGAGGATGTAGAACGGCGGCAAAGAGGTGTCGGTGCGCAGAAACAGCGACGGGTCGGCAGTAGAAGGAGCAAAGCCAAGAGCCACAAGTGTAGTCCTCAGTGTGTCGTGCCACTCACAGGGCGCCTGGCGGAGACCGTAGACTGGCCGCGGGAGGCTCCACTGGGTGCCAGGAGGAAACGACCCAGTGAAGCCAGGTGGGCGGCGCAGCCAGATCTCCTCGTGCAGGCTGCCCTACAAGAAAGCTGTACTGAAGTCAAGAGAGTGAAGCTCGT